ATTTATCTTTAAAAAAAAAAGAGAAGAGAGAGAAAGGTCCTTGTGATATGAACTCTACAAGCTCCATACACTGAGCTACGGCGAGTGCAAAGTTGATGAGGCATGGTCTTTGGTGACTAATTCGCACCCGCAGCCACCTGCTTGCGCGCGTGCTCTCCCATGAGATGGAGGCGCACGATACAAACAGGCAGACAACCCGACCCTTAGGGGCCATCATCCTGGCTGTGCTGGGGACTGAATCTCCATGGCAAACCATTTGATACCTCGTGAATGGCTGTGGGTCCCCCCTCTGGAATCATGGGAACTGTAGTTCGGAGATGTGCTTGGGATACCGTGATGGAGAAGTATAACATCTTCCATTGAAGTACTAGATTGGAAACCTTACCAAACTTCAAATCCTACAATTTTATTGTATGGATTAGTAACTAGGGATGGGATTTTCAGATTTTTTTTGGGACTACAAACACCATAATTCTCTGTGCTGGGGGTTCTCCCAGGGAGAAGAGCCTAGATTGGAAGGCTTTGAGGCCTAGTGAGGCCTAACTCTGCCCAAGCTTCCTGCTTAGAAAGAAACCTCCCAGCAAGCACTGGGGCAGGAACAGGAAGTTCAGGAAAATCTAGGCCTAGCTAGGCCTCTGAGTTTTCCAGGCATGGCCTTTTTTCCCCAGGCGAGCCACATTTAGGTGTTTACATATTGCCTTTAAGGCAGGGAGAACTCCCAGGATGGAGAATTATGGGAAGCTAGGCCTAGCTAGGCCTCTAAGTTTTCCAGGCATGGCCTTTTTCCCCCAGGCGAGCCACATTAAGGCAGGGAGAACTCCCAGGATGGAGGACTATGGTCTCTGTAGTCCAGGAAATCTGAAAGTCCCATCCCTAATCGAAACAGTCAAAGGAGTATCAAACTGCCATAAATGTGCCCGTTTGGAACACACCTTCTGGATTTCCTCACAGATATGAGCGTTGTTGAAGACAGATCCTTGATCTTTTGATATATATGTGTGTGTGTGTGTGTGTGTGTGTGTGTTTACTGGCACAAATAGGGCATAGAGACCCCCCCCCCGAACATGCTTCCACTGTGGGGCTGTCCATGTAGGAGTGTCGTGAATGCCCTCAAAAGATAACCCGTTACCCCCTTGTCGTGGGGCTAACACAGCCATAGGAATCGCCGGTTCGACTCACGATACAGCCAGGGTGGGTTTGCCCCAGATCTGATCAGAATGGGGGGGGGAAAGGGGGGCGGCTGGAGGTTTGCCCCTCTATAACCAAAGAAAATGAAAAATCTCCTGACTCCATGGTCCGCGGGAACAGCAGCAGCTACGGATGGCTCTACCCGGACTGAGTGTAAACAAGAAGACGTTCTGGAATGTTTTCGAACCTACGTGTTCAAGCAAAATGCTCCTAACCTGAGGAGCTTCCAGGGTTTATGCCAGGTGACGGCGGGCAGGGAAGATAGAGGCGGGCAAGAAGGCAGTGCTGGCCGGTCCCTACTCAAAGGCATCTCCCGGGGATGTCGCGCCGGGGTGGGGTTTAAGCCATCAGCGGCTCAACCAGCTAGCAGAGCATCCCTCTCCCTACGTTCCAAAACTAAAAGCTCCCCCCCGCTGTCTTTTTTTAAATTCAGAGGATAACGCCAAGAAATCCTTAGTTCCTGCACGCAGCCAGCATCTCTCAGGGGCTGGCTGGGGACGCTGGAAATGTTTAATGGGCTGGCAAGTTCTCAGAGTGGTCATCTTGAAAAGGAGGGCTTGGCAAACGGTGCCGGTAACGCTCTGAGCGCTGACGGTTACGATGCACCAGGTCATGCGGCCGTTCTCGAGATGGGCTCGGTCCAGCTTTCCCGAAGGACTTAACCCCCCCCCCGTACTAGGCGGAATAGGGTGGGGTGTCCAATCTAGCAGCAACCTAGAGAGGGAAGAGGTTAAGTCCTATTGAAAATGGGAGTTGGAAATGCCTTTCCTCATCTTTCTGAGGATGATGAGGAAAACGACTCCGGATGCCTCGATTCCTGCCCCATGCCCTGCATTGGGGCTTAAAAGAGAAGCTTTCTACACTGCAGACACAGAACTAATTATGTGTGTGTGAGTCTTTGGGATGGGGGAAGGTTGTCCAAAAAATTTGGATGGGGTTCAAGAAGAGCAATCTCTAAAAGGCCCCGGAATCAGCTAGTCTATCGGATATCGGCCACAGCCCTGGAGGAAGGAGCGACTTTTTTTCCACACAAAATGCGGCCACTCGGGTCACATAGAACGCACACGGGTAACTACTGGTTCCTGGAGGAGACAGGGTGGGCCTGTCGTGTTTCGGTTCTTACGGGACAGAATGAGATGCAGTGGGGGCTTTTCCGAAATGGAAGGTTGCCCCGGGGGGCCAGGGAGAACGGGCTATGAACCCTTGGCAGTGATTAGGCACAAAAGAGGACTGCACAGCGGCCACCAGGCTACCCTGTTATGACTCGTCATTGCTGGTGATAGGCATCTCTGGTAGGACCCTACCCGCCCGCCCTGGGAGCAGTGGGGTGCGTTCGACGGTCTTTCCTTCTGTTTCAACTGTACATCACAAACCAAGGGGTCAGGGGAGACGGGCTCCCTTGCAGTAGAGGTCTGTCCCAGAAACAGTTCTCACAACCAGAAGGATATGCAGAGTATAAGAAAAAAAGAAACTCCCCCGCCTCTCACTGGTTCTTGGCTGGTTTAAGGATCGTTTGATAGCATCAGTTTTCTCTTGTGATCTGGACGCCCCACTCCATCTAGGAAAGAGTCCCTAAAAAGTGAGGACCGTTATCTGATTCAAGAGGAACCGGAAGGACATACCATGGGACACTTTGATCCTCCTCCTCCTCCTCCCCTTAGCTAATTCTAGGGTCGCCAGCATTTCGTTAACACTTGTTTTTAATTGCACAATGCCCGTAAACATATACTAAACCAGGAGGAGACCAAACTCCTTTGTTCCTTGTTATGCTTATTTCTACAAAACCACAGGGTGCTAAGGAGCGACTCGGGACCGTAAAGGATGTTGTCTGAGGATCCCGGCCCATCGCTGTTTGATAAAATGATCCTTAGCACATTTTAACCACAATTCTGTACTCAGACATCACCCCAGGTAAAAATGTGAGCTTTTAAAGCCTCTTTCTCTATGGCGAAAGCTAGAAGGGGAAGTTAAAATCTCTTAAAATATATGAGCCTTCTCTGTCAAGGACTCTTTTACGGGGACGCATTCACACACAAAAAGCTCCCACTCTTACAGGGGCTATGCAAGACTGCTTTACATCAGCGTCTGCTTTTGGTGTTCGTCAGTCAATTTAGCACTGCACGGGTTCGGCAGATGGACAGATAAGTCCGCTTTCCCAAACCTGGTACTTTCTCGAAGCGTTGGAAAATAATATCTGTTATCCCCGGCCACATTTCAGTGGCATGACAGGTTTGTAAAAGCAACACCCCTGTCTTTTATTTATCTATATATTTAAAGGCACACGGGGGACAGGATGGCATTTCTTGGAGACTCGTGGGAGGATCCTTCTGCTTCAAACGAGCGATGCACAGCTATGCACCTTGCTTCGAAAAGAAAAATGGGGGTTCTTTAATCTGTTTGCAATTTTTTGCTGCTCTCCTCGTGAAATCTCGTGCCACAACAGCAGATTTCTACCAGGGAAACAGCCACCTTACAGACACCTAAATGTTGCTCACCAGGGACAGGGGAGGGGGCAAAACTTTCACTTTGAAGCCTAGCTAGGCCTAGCTCTGTCTTAGGCTTCCTGTTCCTGCCCCAGTGCTAGCTGGGAGATTTTCCTCTCTGAACAGGAAGCTAGGCCTAGCTAAGCCTCAGAACCTTCCATTTCAGGCCTTTTCTCCCAGGTGAGCCACACTGAGATGCCCATGAGGTGCATATAAGTTAGGTAGAACTCCCAAAGTAGGGAATTATGAGCTTTGTAGTTCCCAAAAAAACCCCTCCTGACGGCTGAGCTCCATAACAATTAAAACCGGAGTCGTAAAACCTCTTGGCATCTCTGGCATTCCACCTAACATTCAGATATCTGCAGAGAACCACTCATCGTTGAACCAATTAAATCCTATATGGTTAATCAGCTAATATTTCACCTGCATGGAGACTGGCGCTTTTGCCCTTACAGAGGGCTTGGATCGAGATTTCAAACCACCGCAGGGCAGTCCAAAGATGGACCTCTCCAGGTAGGCTTTTACACACCTTACTTTAAAGGTGGATACCTGAGCCAGGTTATATACCATGTGAGGTTTGAGGAGGAATGGCGGGGAGATTTCCCAAGCCCCCCCCCCCGACCAGCGTAGAAGCTGAATTTATGGCAGTAGTAGTAAGACTGGACTTGGCTTCGCCACCTGCTATCTTTGGGATCCGGGAGGAAGAGAGAGAGAGATGGCCAGGAAGGGAGTAAGCTAGGTGTGTGTGGGGGATAACCCCTTCCTTCTCCCATGGAACTGGGGTGTCTACCGTTACACGCACTCGCACAAGGCATCTGGAGAGGCGTATTGCACAGATCTGAAGCAGGGAGGAGAGGGGAATGTTGCTAGATAAAAGATCTCGTTAAAAATGTCCCTAAAGATGCGAGGAGGTGAAGAAAGGGAGGGAGGCACCCCTCAAAGGGAGTGTCCATCAGCATCGCCCCGTTTTTTGGGGTGGCTGAACGCCAGCTGCTTTGTCCACGCCGTGGGTCCGTGGGGCGCTTTTCTTTGGCCTCTTCCTCTGCCTTCGAAACCCGGGCGGCGTCCAGACCGGCTCCCTTCTTGAGTCCCCGCATCTGCCCTCCTGGTTCTTCCCCCGTGCAAGCCAACAACCCCTAAGACAAGCCCGCCTGGAGGCCCTCAGAGAGATCTGTGGGGCAGAACCCACGTGAGATCCTCCAGGCTTGATTCGCCGCGTTGGAAGGGGCAAAGACGGGGTGCGGCTCTCTCCGCACCACAACCCCAAAGGGACGTGGTGTGTCTCCTGTCGCAAAAGTTGACACAGGTGGCCCCACCCGGCTTCCCTCACCTTCGGGGGAAAAAGTGGGGTTCAGCTTGGCCTTTGATGGACGCCTTTGGTGTGCTTTCTGAGAGAGTGGCTCTTTCGCCCTTGGGTGCTCTCCCGGGACGAACCCCTCGCCCTGCGGTGGTGAACGCCCCCAGCGGGGCCTGCTCGCTTTGGAAGGTGACCTTTCCTCCGGCCCCGGGATAAGAAGATGCGGCTCCCATTCTCGTAACCTTACATGTTGGACGTGAGCTTCGGTTTCCCGGCGTCCACCTCCGGGCTGAAAGCCACGGAGCCTTTGCGGGACGGGGCGGCGTGTCGAGGGGTGGAAGCCGGGGACTGGGGGGTGCTGGCCCCGCTCATGGAATGGCTGGAACCCAAAGGCACCGGCTGGGGCGAAGAAGGGGGCCCAGCCGTGCCCGCGGGCGGTTTGGCTAAGAGCCCGGGGACAGACGGGGTGGAGCGGTGTGTCAGGTTGCCGGCCGACTTCCGGGCCGGATGGGACGAAGAGCCCATGTCCGCCTGCTGGGTCAGCCGGTGGGGGAGCGACGGCTGGGAGGCGGAAAGCGGCCGGACGTCCTGGGTGAGGCCGCGGGCCGAAAGGCCGTGGGCGCTGCGGTGTTTCACCAGCTGCTGGGGCTGCAGAAAGAGAGAAATGTGGGAGCCGCTCGCCCGAGAGAGGCTGTAGTGGAGAGTTCGCCCCGGGGGAGCCGACGACGAGGTGCTCCCCGGCTGTTGCAGGAGTAACGTGGAGACCGACGTGGCCCGAGATTTGGAAAGCGGTGGCGGGCCGGTTCCCGATCCGGTTTCAGCCTTTGGGACGGGGCGAGGGATGGCTTGCCCCACCGAGCCTCTTTGGACTCCGGCGCTCTCCAGTGGCGAGGCCGGCTGGCCCACGGGGGACCACGGGGAACCGGCTGCCGGCGTCTGTAAGTGCGACGGGGCTCCGGAAGCCGGGGAGCTGACCGAGGAAGGGCGTGAGCCGGCCAGGCTGGGCTGGGAGCGCCGGGGGTGGCGAGACACGAGGACAGCGTCCGGAGAGAGAGGGCTGGAGATGGAGGAAGGGGGCAGGAAAAGGTGGGCGGCCAAGTTCTGGTGGTGGGTCAAGGCGATGGCCACGTTCGTGGTGGCGGCTGCCGTCTGCAAGGGGGCATGGACCAGGGGCTCCCAGATAACGGGCTTGCCGCTCAGCTCCCGGCCGGCCGTCACCAGCGGCAGCTCCTGGATGTTGTGGGCCGTGTCCTGGTCGTGCTTCACGATCTGCTGGATGATTTCGTTGCTGAGGTTGCTGGAGCTGTGCTCCGCCCTCTTGCGCAGCAGGATGGAGTTCTTCTTCCCTGGGGAGACGACCAAGACGGGGTGGGGTAGGGGAGGAGAATATAAGAATGGAGGTGGGAAAAGAGCCCTGTTAGACTGTGCAGAAGAACGGAACCGGCGTTTGGAAGGAACTAGTTACAAACAAGTACAGTGGTGCCCCGCTTAACGATTGCCCCGCACCATGACGAAATCACTGTACGACGATCTTTTTGCGATCGCAATTGCGATTGCAAAACGATGGTCTAAATTGTTTTTTTTTTGCTTTGCGAAGATCGGTTCCCTGCTTCGGGAACCAATTCTTCGATCAAAACAGCTGATGGTCGGGTTTTCAAAATGGCCGCCAGGTGCTTAAAATGGCTCCCCGCTGTGTTTAGGGACAGATTCCTCGCTATACAGGCAGCGAAAATGGTCACCGTATGGAGGATTGTCACTGGATGGTGAGTTTTTACGCCATTGGAACGCACTGAACGGGTTTCAATGCGTTTCAATGGGCTATTTAATTTCATTTTACGATGTTTTTGCATAACGGCGATTTTCCTGGAACGGATTATTGTCGCTAAGTGAGGCACCACTGTAATGAATTACAAAATCATAGAGCGATGGCACTGGAAGAGGCCTTGAAGGCCATCTGTTTCCTCCTGAATGCCTCCAGCCTTGGAGTGCTCACCGCCTCCCCCTGAGATCATCGGCGCCATCGTCACACTGTTCTAACAGTTGGCGACCGGTTCCCTTGTCGTACGGCTCTAACAGTCGAGAAGTTTTTCCTGATCCGGCTCCATCGTCACACTTCTCTAACAGTTGGCGACTGGTTCCCTTGTCGTACGGCTCGAACAGTTGAGAAGTTTTTCCTGATCTTCAGCCGAAACCTGCCGTCCTGCAGCTCGAGCCCATGACGACGGGTCCTGCACTCTGGGAGGATCGACAACGGATCCTATCCGTCTCTAAATCACGGAGAAGGCATCTCCCGTGATCCTGTTTGTTTCTAACCGTCATGCGCTCTGTCGAGGAGGTGTCAAGAAGAGATCAATAATGAGAAGAGACAGCGATCATCTCCTCCTCCTCCTCTACTTACCGATGCGATCCAGACGGTCCATGGCCACGGTTTCGAACGCTCGCCGCATCATGGGGTACTCCTCCCTCTCTAAATCACGGAGAAGGCATCTCCCGTGATCCTGTTTGTTTCTAACCGTCATGCGCTCTGTCGAGGAGGTGTCAAGAAGAGATCAATAACGAGAAGAGACAGCGATCATCTCCTCCTCCTCCTCTACTTACCGATGCGATCCAGACGGTCCATGGCCACGGTTTCGAACGCTCGCCGCATCATGGGGTACTCCTCCAAGACTTCGTTAAAATGGTCGACCGAGAGCGAGTAGAGGCGGCAGTAGGTGTCGGCTCGCACGCTGGCCGTGCGCCGGCCACGGGTCAAGAGGCAGATCTCTGTTGGGGGGGCAAATGTGGAGAAGCGAGTCGGGACCCTCGGCCAGTTAGACCTGGGGGAGTCAACCTCCTGGGAGCGTCCAAGGCAAGTAGACTCAGCAACCCATCTCAGGGTTCAACGGGTGCCAACGTGGAGGTTCCCACAACATGCTCTCCAGAACGGCAGGACAGAAAGTCTCCTTCCCTTCTGGAAAAGGCCGTATTTAAAACACCCCTTTCTTTTTGAACTTGCTCGGCCAATTTTGCCGGCGCTGGGAAAGCAGCAAAGGGTAACAATCCCACCCACCCCGTTCATACGGAGAAAAGGCCCCTTTATAAGGTCCAAACACCAAAAAACATTCTTTTCCAAACATTCCCTCTTTCAACGCACCAGTGGGCTTATCCTCGTCTTAATGCAAAAAATCACGATTTTGACATTGGTGCGTTAAATCGGACCCTGTATTTCCCAACTGTGCTCTGGGGGGGGGGGACACCAGAAACCCCTCGTTAGCATGGCTGCTGTCAAAATTAGCACTTCCAAGTTGTACCTAAATCAGAAATGGGAGCAAACAAATCAGTAATATGAAGTGATATGGCGGACGCTGTAATAGAAAGGTGCAGTGCAGAGTGTTACTCCTATGGGTTCTAATCCAGTTATTTGATTTCATTCACACATACTGGTGGGTTTCACAGTTCAGAAAGTTTGTTGAGGTGTGTATGTGCTTTGAGTGTGTGTATATTTCTAGTCCATGTGTGAATAGCACCATTTTGGCATTTATAAGGAAGGACATTTAACCACCCCCTCACCCCTCAGACTCAAGCAAAACCCTTTACAGAGAGCTGGTTGGGTACATGGATTTGAGTGTCAGACAACAACGCATGAGACAGGTTCAAATCCTCCCTGGGGGACCTGGGGCCTGTCACCGCCTCTTAGCCTGGCCTACCTCACAGGCTCGGTGCAATGATAAGAGAGCGGGCGGAGGAGAGCCAGGTATGCCTTGAGCTCAGTGGGGGAAAGATGGATCAAAATGCACTAAATAAATAAATATTTTTCGCATTCATCAAAGACAAAAAAATAAATCTTCAAATCTGATGATCACATCCTTCTTTGGCTGGTGAATTCTGAATGTTGCACCAGGAATTTGCGCAACCTCTTCTCCTTTGGAATTGGCACATGTAATTTCCTTCTTGTCCTAAAACCTGTTGGGAGTTGCTTCAACCTTGCATGCTGCCGCTGGGGTGACTGTCAATCTATCCGGCACTAACCAATAACCTTTGATTCAAAAACAGCCCCGCCTCTCTGATCTGTGTCTTTTTCCCCCTCTCTAGAGACTGCGCAGTGCTGTTTCAAAACTTTGCAACAAAACCTACCTCCAAAGTAGGACCCGTCCGAGAGCTTCATCTCCTTCGATCCGCGGGTGAGGATACTGACCACCCCGTGTTGAATGAAGAACATTTTCTTCCCCACTGTCCCTTCTCGGATGATAAAGTCCCCCGGCTGGAAGACCTCGAAGCGCAGCTTGGTCAACATGGCCGTCACAAAGTTGGGGTCGGCGTTGGCGAAGAGGGGCATGTTGGCCACCAGGTTGCGGCAATTGAAATTGATGATTTCCTGCGAGAAGGGGAGAGTAAAAAAATTAATCCAGATCAGCAGCCATGATGACGTGGTGCACGGAGGCGGATCTGTGAACTGGGAAGGTGAGGTAGGCCAGCTTTGGTGATTGATGGAAAAACAAGAAGAGTGGTGAGGTCAGGTGCAAAGGGGGAGGGGATGGACAGTGGATACACACTGGGTTTTACTCCGAACTTTACAGATAGCTCTCTAGGCTCAATTTCCTTCCTCTTTCTTTCTTTCTTTCTTTCTTTCTTTCTTTCTTTCTTTCTTTCTTTCTTTCTTTCTTTCTTTCTTCCTTCCTTCCTTCCTTCCTTCCTTCCTTCCTTCCTTCCTTCCTTCCTTCCTTCCTTCCTTCGCAAAATTAACATTTTAGAACCAGAATAGTTTTTTTAAAAAAAGGAACTACGGTAAACTCAAGCGGAGTCTTGAGTGCCTGGCAGTGTGGACCCCAAGGCCCTCTGCACATGCTCTGGAGCACCTCCCTCACACGTTTGGCCATAACTCAACCTACTGTGGATCTGTTTTGTAATATCAAGGCTTTGCTGGTGTTTTCCTGCTAAGAGACAGGGGGCCCTTCCCCGAAACGATGTACCTCTTTGAGGGGTTCACTCAGCTCCCCCAGGATGTTCTCCTCGTCAAACATCTTGCCCTGGTAACGATGCTCGTAATATTCATGGATCCGTTGACGCGTGTCTCCCGGCAGTTTATGGAAAGACATATACTGTTCCACTTGTTTGTACTGAAAGGAGAGGCAAAGGATAACACAAGCACACAACAGAGAGAGAGAGAGAGAGAAATCATCCTTCTCATCCGGGCTGGGGGAATATTCCTTGAATTCTCCGCTTTTATTTCATGAACAAGTTTCTAGTCCTCATCCGGTTTCATAGACATCACCCAGGCTAGTTTTTGTTGAAAGAAAAAACAGAGCTGTTCCCACTGAGGGCAGCTTATGAGTGGGAAGAAGGGGTGGCTCCCCCTGAAATTTTGGGGTATGGGGGACCCCGCATCCCAGTCCGTGAGCTTCTCTTCTTTCTGGTGTTGCAAGCAACGGATGCGAAAGACGGTAGAATCCTAGACAAACACAACACTCTTATTTTTAAGCGCTCTATGCCTTAAATGGTGTTGGTGCTAGCTGCAATTTGATAAATTTGGACATTTGGGAACGCATCTGCCTATTTTCAGCCAAAGGGGAGGCCTTTAGAGTGCAGGTGGCAAGACTTAAACCTATGACCCTTCTATGGGTGAAGCACTTATTCTGCCTGCTGAGCTACTTGCTACCTAAAGGAGGCATCCTAAATGGTACAATATAAAAGCTTATATCTGAACCATATAGTACAGCAGGACCCTTGTATCCACGGGGTCAATGTCCACGGATTCATTTATCCGCTGTCTGAAAATATTAAATACCGTATTTTTCTGTGTATAAGACTATACTTTTGTCTAAAATCTTCAGACTAAAAATTGAGGGTCGTCTTAGACACGGAAGCAAACTAAGGAGAGAACAAAAATAAGTCGGGGGGAAGCAGGGATCAAAGCGATCCTGCAGCACTTCGATCCCTTTTCCCCTTCACTTGCTAAGCCCCACTTAGATTTCTTAATTTTGGATTAGAAAAGTGGGGGGCATCTTATACATGGGGCGTCCTATACATGGAAAAATACGGTATTTCTAAAGAGGAAGTGACTAGAACTGGCCACTAGAGCGAGCCAGAGACCATGCTATGTATAGCACATGTAGCGTTCGCGATAATCCACATTTTTCAGGATCCGCAGGGAGGAGGAGGCTTGGAACCAAATCCCCGCAGATATGGAGGGTCCTCCCGTCATCCACAAGTTTTTATGTGCTTTCCAATGACTAGCTGGGCTTCCACATGGAAAGTGATGTCCACACCACTGCTTTTTTAAAGGCTCACCTTCTCCTGGTACTGGCGCCGAGAGGAGTCCAGGGACTGGATGAGGGCGGTGGCGTGGCCGATGAACATGGCGTAGCAGGTGGCGCCCACGATCATGCTCAGCATGGTCAGCCAGACGTCCGTCATGCCCTCCGGAGCCTGCTGGCCGTAGCCGATGCATAGCATGTGGCTCATCGCTTTGAACAAGGCGTGCGAGTACTGTTTGCCCCACGAGTCGTTCTGGGGCGGGGCGGGGGGGTGAAGAAAAGGACAGAACTTCAGCACACGAGGGAAAGTTTGTGGAGCCCCACGAGCTGGGGCGGGGCGGGGGGGTGAAGAAAAGGACAGAACTTCAGCACACGAGGGGAAGTTTGTGGATCGATTGAAAAATATTTTCCCCTCCCTCATTTTCCTTAAAAGAAGGCCAGGTATCCCCTACCCCGGCTTGAATCAGGCCCTTTTATTCGCCTAAGGCGAATAAAAATCACCTCTGGGTGACCAAGGGGCAATTTTTTGAAAGCTTTTTTATTTATTTATTTTCTTTAAAGCTTTTTTCTCTCTCCCATATTCTCTGATCCTGTTGATGGGTGAGAAAAATAAATGAATCGACAAATTAATGAATGACTCTAGCGAATTCATCCCGCAGAGATAAGTGGAGCTACACCGCGGTGACACAAAGAATGATTTTTTTCCTCATTGGTGCATTTAATCTCATGCGCTCTTTCCAACTTCCCCTATGAATTATGACAGTCCCTTCCATCCTACCAACCCGCATTCTTCTTATTTTGATCCTAAACAAGACGCTATCCTATTCCTGCACCCAGCAGGGGGTTGGACTTGATGGCCTGATGGGCCCCCTTCCAACTTTGCTACTCTGTGATTAAATGGGAAGACCATCATTGGATAAACGCTCTCAATGAGCCACAGCTGGATAGCTCAGGGGCTTAGGTCTCTGGCTGTGGAGTCCGAGGTTGCGAGTTCGAGTCCCCCACTAGGCCTGTGGAGTCAATGATCTAGATTCTATAGAGTCCCTTCCGACTCTGCAGATCTAAGATGAGGATGATGGTGGACGTGCAAATCTAGGGGTCAGTAGTCCCCCAAAAAGCAGGGGAGAGTTTTCCAAGATGGGCCTGATCCCACCAGCAAAAAAACCCCTTAGCCACACCTGGTTGTCAGGAGAAAAGACGTCACCCACCACCATATGGTTGATGGAGACCCAGCAGTCTTCAGGGAAATCCTGCAGCATGGGCACCAGGAACTGCAAACAGCCGTCCCAGTGGCAGAGTAGCAGCATCATCCCGATCAGGTTGAAGATCCGGACCACGGCGCTTGCCAGGTCATAGGTCATATGGAAAATCTGGACCAATGGGATGCAAGACCAAGGGGATGTAAGGGAGTGGAACATCACCCAGAGTGACTCCCCGTCTCCCTCTTATACAGCTGCTGTTTATCCCACCGGATAGCTAAAGACCTCAGGGTGAAGCCCACTCGAAAGCTGGGATTAAACCATTCAGTATTTTAATACTACCTGGGGACCCCCTTATCTATGGGATCAGGATCTGCTGAGTCACTTATCCACCGTCTGAAAATATGAAAAGGCAGATCCCCAATATACCGTATTTTTCCGTGTATAAGACTATGCTTTTGTCTAAAACCTTTAGATTAAAAATTGGGGTCGTCTTATACACAGAAGTAAGCTGAGGAGGAAAAAAACAAGTGGAGGGGAAAGCAGGGATCAGCAAAAGGAGGGGGGAAGGATCAAAGCAATCCCATGGCTGTATAAGGGGGAAAGGGATCAAAATAATTGTGCGGTCATGGAATTGCTTTGATCCCTTTCCCCCTCCTTTTGCTAAGCCACGTGGGGCTTAGCACAAAGGGAGAAAGCAGGGATCAAAGCCATCCTGCAGCACTTCGATCCTTTTTACCCTACATTTGCTAAGCTCCACTTAGATTTCTTAATTTTGGGTTAGAAAAGTGGGGGCATCTTATACATGGGGGCGTCTTATACATGGAAAATATGGTATATACATGTCTAATTGTGACATTATCAGGACTGGCCACTAGAGGGAGCCAGAGACCATGCAATGTATATCGTTCAGTATTATCAGCGGTTTTCGGCATCCGCAGGGTGGGCTTGGAACGGTTGCCCCATGGATACCACAGTCTTCCTGTAATGGTAACAAACTGACGGAGACCCACCTCTTCCCACTGGTGGATATAACGGATGAGCCGCGAGAGGCGCAGGAGACGCAGGAGGCTGAGGATTTTGGTGAAGCGGACGATGCGCAAGGCCCGCGCCGTTTTGTAGACTTCGGAGTCCATCTGGGTCTCCAGGTCTACGATGAGGAAGATGTAATCTACGGGGATTGAGGAAATGAAGTCCACCAGAAACCAGCTCTTGAGATACTTCATTTTGATGGTGTGCGGGTCCAGGATGATCTCCGTGTTGTCTTCCACCACGATGCCCGTGCGGAAATTCAGAACGAGGTCGGCCAGGAAGAAGGTGTCCGACAGGACGTTGAAGACAATCCAGGGCGGCGTGTTCTCGTCCTTGAAAAATGTGATGCCTACTGGGAGGATGATCAGGTTTCCCACCATCAGAAGCAACATGATCAAGTCCCAGTAAAACCTGTGAAGGAAGCGGCAAGTCAGGAAAAGGGTGAAACCGTTCTGTTTTCAAGCAAAATCAGACCTCGTAGTAAACCCAACATTAGAAAATGGAAATCCTTAACCGTTGGGAAACGTCTGAGTGTACAGCCGGACTTTTTTCGCACCTCGCTAACTTTGCGAAGTCGCTTTACATTGTTTGAAGTGAGACTTCAGCACTTACGCACAGCGGTCCTGATCTCACAGACATGAACGCCTCCCTGAATCGCATCTCTCCAACACGAGCAGTTGCTTAGTTCTAATCATAGCCGACTCAAAAGTGCCCGTTTCCTGTCTTCTCCGATTTCTACTTTTTCAAACCCCAGAACGTCTTTGTGCAACTCAGTGGTGCTGAAATTTGCAAACGTTGGAAAAAAAATGTGTCAAAAAATGGATGGTGAGCGGGTTGGCACTCTCCAGTCTACAAAACCTATGATCCCCATCTAGCCAGAGGGAACGATGGGAGCGGTAGTCTGAGAGGCTGCGAGGATACCAAACTAAAAAAAAAAAAGAGCTTATCATCACTTTGTACATTTTCTAAAATGGTTTCTTAGCATTAGGGCCGGCTTCTAGGTTTCCACCTGAAAATTTTCCTGTACCTTTGGCAAGATAAGATCCTGTTTGCGACTATTATTCTATCTTTTTTTTAAATTAACGATTATATTTTCCAAGGCACAGTTATGGGACATGTCAGAAAATGAAGATAATCCGTAGGAAGATTACTTTAGAAAAAAAGGAGGGCCTCCGTCCTTATAAATTATGAACAATAAAGATATTTTCCAGGAAGATTTATTAAACTTCGTTTCCATTGTGAAAGGACGTCGCTTCTCCCCTCCCTTTATTACATCTGGTAGCTTGTCTTTTGCTTTTTATTCAGAGCGCAAAGATTTAATACACGGGGAAGCCATGTGTTTATTGACTAAAGATCATTATGTGATCAGCGGCGCTTAATCGTATTTCATGTTTGAACCTAAAGGGAAGGTCAAAAGCTGAACAAACCATCTGTCGGAGATCAATGGAAAAAAAGAGCCCTAAATATGAAGAAAAAAAGGATTTAGTATGGAAGAAAATCAGCAAAGGATTCTGGGAGGCGGATCAATCTTTCTCTCCTGCCTTTCCCACAATCTGGATGAGAAATCCTCTTTTCCCAGAGACAGGTTGGATTGCTAGAGGAGGTGGGCGGAGCCTGTGGCCCAGAGGGGTGGAGATTGGAACTGGAGTAGGCGGGGCCTGTGCTGAAGTAGGCGGGGCCAGAGCCCATCCCGTATTTTTTCTTAAACCCACATTGAGACACGTAGGCGTACGGACATTTTCTCCCTTTATGCAGGATTTCTTCTTCAACACCTACGGTGGTCTAGAGTTAGGGGCAGTATGGCCTAATGGTTAAAGAGGGAGATTTTTCACGCCTGAAAAATAGCATCTCTTACAATTCCCATTCCTTGGAAATCCTCCGATGAGCGATAGCAGGTTAGAAGCAGAGGAGGTAAATTATATAGGATAGCACAACGCCTTGAAGTTATAGTTTAAATCTGACACCAACTGAACGTCAGCAAACCTTTCCCATTCGGCTAAAAATGGCTATGATCCTAGTCCTCATGGTTTTCGTTTTGTCTTTTAAATTGTGCTTTACCTGCATGGCTTGCAGCCCCGGTTTGGGAGGAAGAGTGGGGTTTCAGCTGACAGGGGACAGTGTGGTCTACTGCTTAGGCCTGGGGAGTGGAAGATCTGACCCCCAGCCTTTCCAGAGCCGTAAAAATCATTAGATGACCTGAGGTTGCTCACAGTCTCACTGAATCTGGCCTACCTTACAGGGTTGTTCTAATGATAAAGAAGAGGCAGAAGCCAGCCATGTACCTCGAGCTCATTAGAGACAGAAGCAATATATACATCCATTCCTCCCCCCCCCCTTGAACAAATGACACGATTCCAGTCAAATCAAGATGCCCAATGGGACATATAAATTTTCTTTAAGTCTGGGTTGGTGAACCTGTCTTGCTCAGGCAAGACGGCCGTTAAAAGACATGATATTCCACAGCCCAGAGGAGATGCTGTTTTAAATGATGAGCCCCAGAATCCCCAGCCAGCATGATTTTGTGGGGGATTTTGGGAATTGTAGTCCAGGAGGGAAGACACTACAAGGAAACAGCAGTGGAAGCAGGGAAAGAGTTCATTATAAGATCATCCACCCAAGCCACGCAAGGTGAAAGCAGACATTTATTTCTGGGACTTTTCTACGGGTCTGTTGGATTTCATCCGTCTTTGAAAGTGCCACGTGAGAAGATTTTAGCAGCCGTGGCATTCCCTTCTCTGCACCCACTAAATCCCCCTTTGGCAGCACCTGTAAAGTTCGGATGAAAACCCGGAGCCGTTTTGCCATTTTGGCAAAAACCACCCATTTTTCCTCCCAATGAATTTTCCCGGCGTAATGCACGTTTTTGTATATTATTTTCATCACTCCACATTTTGGGGGTAGGCAATCGCCCCAACATATGCTTTTCAGGAGTATGGGGTGTTGTTGTTTTTAAATAACCCCGGAGGACATTTTTGCAAAATTTGATTGTAAGAGACTGGGCTGGGCGCGAATGGGGTTCCCGGGCTCCACCGACAGGCGAGGAAAATCTGCTGCTCAGGAAATGAAGGATTGTTTTAAAAATAGAAAAATCTCACAGCTATTGAACTTAGAGAGAGCAGCACAGAAGTGGGCTGTGCGTATTGGCATAAGTTCTTTTTTTATTATGCCAACAAAAATGGGTATTCGTTCTGGTGCTAAAGCTGACATTCCAACGCCGGAAAAACTGACGTTCCCGGGAGCAAGTCAATCAATCAAAATAAACTCTAGGGGATGAAATGACACGAACTCTGGCTTACCAAAAAAAGGGGGGGGGAAGCTCTACTTAAGTTGGGTGCTTAGACAATTTCCTAGATTTTGAGGCATTGAAGCAATGCCACCCCCAAGCATTCTGCTGCCTGAAGCATAGCATCTGATGATTCTGCTTGCCAAGTCGCGTCAAGCTCCTCAGAAACGAAATCTGGCTGGATGACTTTATCGACTGATCCCATTTTTCTGCCTGCCTCACAGGGTTGTTTTTCTTGTGAGTGAAGAGGTGGACCAGGTACATCACCTTAACTTCCTTGGGGAATATCCATCCATCCGTCCATCCATCCATCTATCCATCCATCCATCCATCCATCCGTCCGTCCGTCCGTCCGTCCGTCCGTCCATCCATCCATCTTTTAAAATATTCATTCATTCATTCATTCATTCATTCATTCATTCATTCATATTTTTAAATATTCATTCATTCATTCATTCAATGAATGAATGAATGAATATTTAAAAATATTTGTATCCCACCTGTCTCCTGAAAAAGATCCCCAGGCAGCTTACATCATTAAAAAGACAATATTCAAAAGCCAAATAAAATAAAATAAACACAGTTATACAAATATTTTTAAAAAGAGATAATTAAACAAGTATTACATTAAAAGTAGTCTTCTGGAACACATTTACAAGAACAGAGCACAACAATCCATTTGACAACATATATATCTTGCATATATGCCTAGATAACGGTAATAATGGGAGAAACAATAATAAGGTTGCATTTATACCCCACTTTCCCCTCTCTCTGAGCTGAAATCCAGGTGTTTGGCTCTCCTTCTCTTTACAACAACCCTATGAGGTAGGTAGAGCGAGAGCAAGAAGGGTCACCCTAAGCTCACTCTGTGGGGATAAGCACCCTACAAAGCAAGAATTCGGCCCAGCCAAAGACTAACTGATAATGAAAGGCAGGACTGATCCTGGCCACTGACCAAGCCTTTGTTAATGAGTCCTCCTTAAAGGTAAACCAAGATGCTAGTCCTCAGGGGATCCAGTTAAAAAGTCAGTTTCGACTCAAACCCAGAAGAATGTGTTAAAACGAAAAAGACAGCAGGCCTTAGCCCTAAATGATCTGTACAGATTTGCACTGACCCTCTGAAGCTCCAGGAAGGATTTGTGCGAGAAATCAGATTTGGGGTTGCCTTTTCCCCAAAGCGTGGGTCCAAAGATCAGATGGCACCAAGGACCCCACCTCAGTCAATCGTCCCCAAACCAGAGGGGTTGGGTGGTAAATCCCATGATCCCCAGTATCTGGGGTGTCTGGGGATGATGTGAGTGGATATGCCTAGGAGGGATCAAGCGAAGGGTGTGTGATTTAGGTAGAAGAGAGAGAGAGAGAGAGAGAGAAAAGCAGCAGGCAATCTCTGGGCCTTAAGGGGTTTAACGTGGTTTGAAGGGCAAGCTATAAATAGAAAGGAGAGAGAAGGAAAAAAAAAATAAGGAAATAAAATTGAGTCATAATGATGGAGGTGGTGGAGAACTTTAGGAACAGCGCAGGCTGCCAGAAAGACAAAATAAGCCGGTTGAAGCCTGAACACTCGCTCGAAGTTAAAATGATTAAATTGAGATGCTCTTTCTTTGGATATAGAATGACACACACACACAAAACCTGGAAACATGGGCGGAAGCAGGGAAAGAGGGAGGCCGAGTGTGAGAAGGGTTGATCCAAGAATGGAGCCACAGTTTGCCAGAGCTGTTACTGATGCTGGTTTTCAGAGGTCGTTCCAGGGAGCGGCTGGAATGCTCAGGGGTTCAGGCCAACGGTTGGGAGTTCGAATCCCCACCATGCTTCCTTGATGAGGGCTGGCCTGGACGATCTATACTTAGGGTCGGTTCTAACTCGGCCGTTCTCAGATGATATTTCTGCTCCACGCAAGTTAGGAAGAGAATAAGGACCCCACTTGGGGTGGGGCTGGAGACCTGGGGTCCTGGGCGTGGGCCCCCCTACCCTCTGGAATAGCCTGTGTTCGCTTGGAGGCGATTCATTTTGCCCTTGGGCTCTCGTGAGTCCCCCCCCCCAGGGGGCTGAGGGTGCGATGCCTTCCCTATGCCAGGCGGTGGGTCAAGGGCAGGAAGGTCTCTGCCCCGAGGCGGGTCCAAAGCAGCGCCACCTACAGCTCAGGGAAGGAGGAAGGCAGGAAACCGAGAGAGCGGGTCTGCATGGGCGCCTCCATGGCTGGGTTTCAGCACCACGGACAGCGGCCGGTGCGTCTCCCGGGGCTTCGGCTGGATGGCCCCAAAATGTGCCTTTTTTTAATTGGGATCTGGGGCCAAATGTAAAGGCCTATTGTCTCCTTTATTTTATTTATTGGCTCGCTTTCTGCCTCGATTTTCCTCCCAGGACATCACCCCCTGCGAGGCTGGCCCCTGCTACGACTCGCCTCTCCTTCCCCTCGCGAAGGCGCACAACAGCCCGGCGAGGTAGGCCAGGCGGGAAAGAGAGAGAGAGATACGGAGGGAGGGAGTTCCCCAAGGTCACCCGTGCGTTCCGTGAAGGTAGGATCTGAACTCTGATCTCTGAACCCGGAGGCCAGCCAATGGCACCGGCCTTTTTTTTAAAAAAAACCGAGCCCACCCAGAGGAGACCCGGGGAGGAGGGGAATGGGGGGGCGACGCCCCACTGCCTACCTGAAATCGCTGTAGGGGTGGATGATCCAGAAGCCGGCCGACTTGACCCGCTGCTGCTCGATTTCCACCGCCTTGTGGCTGCCGAACATGCGGAGCGAGAACTTGTTGACGGCCGGCTGGAGCATGGCACCAAGCTGGCGCTGGACG